ACAGAGCGAGACTCTGTCTCAAAAAAAAAAAAAAAAAAAAAAAATTGCTAACACCTATTTCACTTAATGTGTTGTGATGCAGATATTATAGACTATTTAATCTCTTAGCCAAGAAGTCTCTGTAAATCAACTTTCAACTATCCTGTTCCAGTGAAGCTGTAAGTGAAATCTTAGAATTGACAAGACAAAGTGTTGTTTTCAGAGTAAGCTGAGATCACAACAGGAAGCCTGGGGGATTCATCTTTACATGCCATGACTTTATTACTTGGTTTGGCATTAACCACTGGATTACAGACCCCCATTCAAATATCATCACAAAAATTGACTCCAAAATCAAGAATAAATTATTTTTGGACCATCTATCATTCTGTATTAGCCATATTCCTATTATCTATCAAAAGTGGAGATTTTTTTTTGTTTTGTCATTCAAAGGACAATACCTCTAAGTATATCAATATCAAAATATACACGCCACTTTAAATAGTCTGAACTAAGCTTTACTTCAGAAGAAGTAATATTAGCTTTGCATAGAATAGACACAGAGAGTTAGAAATAAGGAAGGTATCTATTTATTTTATTTTTTTATTATATTTTTTTGAGATAGAGTCTCTCTCTGTTGCCCAGGCTGGAGTGCAGTGGTTTGATCTCAGCTCACTGTAACCTCCGCCTCCTGTATCCAAGCAATTGGTCCTACCTCAGCCTCCCGAGTAGCTGGGATTATAGGCGCTCGCCACCACACTTGGCTAATGTTTTGTATTTTGGTAGAGATGGGGTTTCGCCAGGTTGGCCAGGCTGGTCTTGAACTCCTGACCTCAGGTGATCTACCCACCTCGGCCTCCCAAAGCACTGGGAGTACAGGCATGAGCCACCGTGCCTGGCCAAGGAATGTATTTAGAGTGGAGGAAAACCTCAAAGTTTCTTAGGCTATCTCTGTGATCCAGCAATCCTATTATGATATAATAATTAAGCTCAAGCCAATAATTCAGAGAGAAAATGGAAAGAATGTGAACTTTCTGAGTTGGGCTATTCTCTCTATGCCTGGGTTTTCAAGACTTTATGGTGTCAGAGATTCTACCCATTCAGCCAGTGTGACTAAAATACAATTTTCTGTTAGGTCTAACAACTACCAGCAGCTTAGCAGGGCAGGGCAAACAATTCCTAGGCCCACCCCAAACCCCTCGCTTTCACTTCCTAACTAAAAACGAAAAAAGAACTGGAGGAGAACCTTGCTAAGCCCTGTATTGCTAACCTACAGTTTAGTATATGAGCTCAAACACGTGATTTTATATATACTAAAACAATGCCCCATATTGAATTTTATTAAACCTTGATATACTTAGTAAGTCTACAAATAAGAAACTCTAAGGCTTATGAGAAGAAAAGTCCATGGAACTTCAGACGATTCACCTGTAAGTACTGGTAAAGGGAGAATTGAAGAAATTTGAGCTTTCACATCAAAGTGCAGTTCTTCGGGAAGAACTTCTAAGTCCACTAGTGGTCTTCAACCAAATATTCCAGAGTCAAGCATGCGTTTATCAAATATTCACATGTACAGGGCATAGGGATACAGTTGTGAGCAAACAAAAACATGGTCTGTGCTCTTATGATGCTTACCAGTTAGTAGAGTAAGTAGCTGGAATAATCATTAAACAAATGTATAATTAAAACTTCTAGTGTTAGGAAACCAGAGACATCTGTCTTGGTTGAGGCAGTTAGAAAAGGCTTCCCTAGGGAAGTGATATTTGAGTTAAGATCCTAATAACCAATCCTAGGTCTTATAAGGAGAAGCAGGAAGTAACCAAGCAGAATTGTGGTCAGGGAACGCTTGCGGGTAGGGAGAACATCTTGGCAGAAGAAACAGTATGTGCAAAGACCTTGGGGAAGGGTGGAGCTTGATAAATTTGAGGAACTGAAAGGTGACCATGGCTGGTGCAGCAAGGAGTGGGTTGAGGGCAGGGGCAGCACTGGTGTGGGTGCCCCTATTAGTAGGCTAGGAGGAGGCTGTGTAGGGACTTCTAGAATTCTGACTTATCCTAAAAGCAATAAGAAGGCACTGGATTTCAAAACTATGAAGTAGTATGACCAGATTTATAGTTTGAAAAGATCACTTTGACTGGTGTGGGGAAAACACATAGGAAGTAGACAAGGATGGCTTAGAGTTATATCAATAGTTCCTGAAATGTGGTCCCTGAACCAGCAGCATCAGCATCATCTGGAAACTTGTTAGAAATGCACATTTTCAAGCTCTACCCCAGAAAATCTAGGAGTAAACAGTGATAGAGTTTTAAAATCTGAAAATCTAGGGGAGGGTTAGCAATCTGTTTTAATAGCATTTTAGGTAATTCTTTTTTTTTTTTTTTTTTTTTTTTTGAGATGGAGTTTTGCTCTTGTTGCCCAGGCTGGAGTGCAGTGGTGTGATCTCGGCTCACTGCAACCTCTGCCTCTTGGGTTCAAGCAATTCTCCTGCCTCAGCCTCCCGAGTAGCTGGGATTACAAGCGTGCACCACCATGCCCAGCTAATTTTTGTATTTTTAGTTGAGACGGGGCTTTACCGTGTTGGTCAGGCTGATCTCCAACTCCTGACCTCAGGTGATCCGCCCACCTCGGCCTTCCAAAGTGCTGGGATTACAGGCGTGAGTCACTGTGCCCGGCCAGCATTTTAGGTTATTCTAATGTTAAGTTTGAGACTCACTGGACTAGAACATTGATCAAAATGCAAGATGAGTCAATTTTAAGTTCCAACCATTCTAACGGCAACTTGGTGAGAACAAACACTAGTAACCTTACCTCTTTTATTTTTTCCTTACAAATCTTGTACTGCTTCTTCTGACTTTCTAAGAAAGTTGTCAAATCTTTCTTCTGCTGGGCCAAGATCTGTTGCTGGAACTTCTTCTCATCTGCTGCAGCTACCTTTGCCTGATAAAATAACAAATACAATGTAGGATGAATCTGTTCTTCACACAGAATTCAGTGGTCTATATTCTCCAATGCAGTAAGAGAGTCCATAAGTGCTAATAATGTGACATTTTTGAACAAATAATAAAAAATAATTTTTTTCTGATTGTCTTGTATCTTAAACAAAAAGAAATAAAAGTTTTCATCATTGAAAAATACATTCTGAATTATGGGAAAAATATGAAGGTGAACTATAAACATATTTTATGGAACAGAAAAATATTCATGGGATAAAAGGAGACCTAAGAAAAATTTTTTTTTGAGATGGGGTCTCACTCTGTCGCTCAGGCTACAGCATAGTGGCATGAGCATAACTCACAGCAGCCTAAAAATCATGGGATCCAGTGATCCTCCTGCCTCAGCCTCCTAAGTTCATGGGACCACAGGCATGCAGCATCAGTTCCAGCTAAGTATTTTTTGAAAATTATCATAGAGACTGGGTCCCACTACGTTGCCTAGGATCATCTCAAATGCTTGGCCTCAAGCTATCCTCTCTCCTCAGCTTCCCAAAGTGCTGAGATTACAGGCATGAGCCACCACAATGGGTCAGAACTGAGGATTATAATAAAGGTTTTTAAAACATATTGTTGGTAGCCCAAAGGTTAAGTTGCCAAAATGTATAAATAACTACACCGGCCAGTTTTATTCCAAGAATCAAACTCTAACTGATTAATTATTCCAACTATCAGATTTTCCAGTGGGATCATCTCAAGTGTAATTGGAGAGCTAATGGCATTTTATTTTGTTTTTCTCTCTTTTTTTTGAGACAGTGTCGCTTTCTCACATAGGTTGGCGTGCTGTGGCACGATCTTGGCTCACTGCAACCTCCACTTCCCGAGGTCAAGTGATTCTCATGCCTCAGTCTCCCGAGTAGCTGGGATTACAGGCATCCGCCACTGCGCCTGGCTAATTTTTGTATTTTTAGTAGAGACAGGGTTTCACCATGTTGGCAAGGATGGTCTCAAACTCCTGACCTCAGGTGATCCACCCGCCTAGGCCTCCCAAAGTACTGGGATTATAGGCGTGAGCCGCCATGCCAGGCCTGGCATTTTGTTTTCTTAGGCACCTGCTGCAATCCACAACAGTCACACATCATGACACTTTTTAGGATCCTAAATGAATCAAACACAGACTACATAAAAGGTAATCCAATAAATACTGGCTCCTGAAAATGACCAAAGCTGTTTCTGGTAACCATTGGGTGAAGTATATATGCAAGATGAGTGACTTACGAGATAAAGTGGGAATTATGCTTCATGGCTCATTTTTATGTATCTTTTTCACCTGCAACTTCCATTATGGACAATTCTTCCTTTATGAACAATTCTCACAACATATTTACCAAGTCAAATCCCAAGAAAGAATCTGACTGATTTCTTTAATCAACATCATCCCTGTCTGGGCAGAGGTTTTCATGCCAGACTGCCTCACAGATTGACAGCTGTTGGGGAAATGTTTCTTCTACAACCTGATGGTTCCTTTCATGTGGACACACACACACACGTGTGGCGCGGGGGGTGGGAGGTGGAGAGAGAGAACACGAACTCCGTTATGGAAACACCCTGACACCATGTCCCCAGTCACTTCATCCCCAGGGAGCACATATCCACTATATTTTTTCCACACTATGGAAGTCTTATAGTATGGCGGGGGTGACAGGAAAGGTGACTCAATTTTACCATTGCCTGGGCAGGCAAGTCTGCTTAATTTTGTTTTCTTGCAGACAAAAATCATCTCTCGTACCTAACATGTATCAGTAATGAAGATGATATTATGACTATCTGCCTCTTTTTTTTTGAGACAGGGTCTTGCTCTGTCACCCAGGCTACAGTGCAGTAGCACAATCTCGGCTCATTGCAACCTCTGCCTCCTGGGCTCAAGCGATCCTCCTGCCTCAGCCTCCCAAGTAGCTGGGACTACAGGCACATGCCCCCATACCCACCTAATTTTTGTATTTTTTGTAGAGATGGGGTTTTGCCACATTGCCCAGGCTGGTCTTGAACTTCTGGGCTTAAGAGATCCACCCACCTTGGCCTCCCAAAGTGCTGGGATTATAGGGTGTAAGCCACCATGCCTAGCCTTGTCTGCTTTTAAAATTAGTTTAGAACCTGGATGGAGAAGAGAGATGTTCCCTAGAAAACTCAAACAATTGCTGGACTCATTATTTGCTCCCTTTGGTCAGGGGCCCATCAGCTGTAGGCAGGGATTATCACCACTATAAGAGACTATCTGTAGAGCAGTTTTCTTTTGAAAAGGACTGTGGGTGTGGCAGATACAGTAAACAGACTTGTGTTGTGTGCGTTCTCAGAAGATAGCAGCAACCTGTTTCCCTTTACTTGTACCCAGGCCACCGTCAAGGCACTGATACTCAGAATATATTTGAATGGACATGAATGTAATATACATTTTCAGTTGCTATTTTAGCTCTGAATGAAAATTTTATGTAGCCCCATAAAATCTGGAAACCCAATTCCTTCTCCCCCATCACCAGCAACAGTTTTCCTCCATCTCCGACTCCTGCCTCCTGCTAACATCCTGCCACTGACCCCAACAGGCCTGGCTTGGTTGTGGCATAAAGGTGTGTGTGCACACACTGACCTCCTTTTCTATGATAGCTACTTGCTTCTTGGCCAGCTTCTCCAGCTCGATGGACGAGTTGTTGGCATGCGTCTCCACCTCCTTCTGTAGCTTGAGGCGGTGCTCGTCCATCTCAGCCTTCAGCTTGTTCTCCAGGGCGATCAGCTGCTTCTGGTGCTGGCGCCGCATCCGCTTATAACCTGACATCTGTTCCCGCAACTCGTTCTCCTGCTCATGCTCATGGATCTGTCGTGTAACCTGAATTCGGGTGGGAAACAGAATTCAGGTCACCAGGTTCATGGGAGACAAGCTTCCAGGCAAAGTAGAAGGGCCCTGTGGCATAATTTTATCTATCACCTTCACCATCAGTTTACCTACTGTTTCTGCGAACGCTCACCTGTAGGGGGCACTGTGTTAGATAATCTTTCTGTATTTTATTCCTAGTCCTCAAAACCATCTCATTCACTCATTCATTTCATTCACGAGGTAGGTGATACCATCTCAGTTTTTTTTGTTTTTTTTTTCCATGGAGTCTCACTCTGTCACCCAGGCTGGAGTGAAGTGGTGTGATCTTGGCTCACTGCAACCTCTATCTCCCGGGTTCAAGTGATTCTCCTACCTCAGCCTCCCAAGTAGCTGGGACAATAGGCACGTGCCACCACACTCGGCTAATTTTTTTATTTTTAGTAGAGATGGGGTTTCACCATGTTGGCTGCACTGGTCTTGAACTCCTGACCTCAGGTGATCCACCTGTCTCGGCTTCCCAAAGTGCTGGGATTACAGGCATGAGGCACTGTGCCTGGCTACCATCTCAGTTTTATAGGTGAAGAAACTGAGTCTTGAAAGAAACTATTTATTAAGGTCGGGAACAATAGCTCACCCCTGTCATCTCAGTAATTTGGGAGGGTGAGGTGGGCAGATTACTTGAGGTCAGGAGTTGGAGACTAGCCCGGCCAACATGGTAAAACCCCATCTGTACTAAAAATACAAAAATTAGCCAGGCATGGTGGCAAGCACCTGTCATCCCAGTTACTTGGGAGACTGAGGCAGGAAAATCGCTTGAACCCAGGAGGCTGAGGCTGCAGTGAGCCGAGATCAGGCCACTGCACTCCAGTCTGGGCAACAGAGATTCTGTCTCAAATTAAAAAAAAAAAAAAAAAGAAAGAAAGAAAAAGGAATTATTTATTCAGTCAAAATGTGTTTACATATTTTTGACAAACCATCACATATATTACATGTTCACAGTAACATAGCTAATAAGGACTGGATTGGGAATCAGGCCCACCTCTGTCTGATTCCAGAGCCATGTTATTTCTACTATACCAAGATTTCCAACCAACACTATTGACAATGAGCCAGATACTTCTCTGTTGTGGGGGTCATCCTGTGCATTGCAGGATGCTTTGCAGCATCCCTGGCCTCTACCCACCAGATGCCAGTAGCACCTCCCACGACATGACAATGAAAAGTATCTCCAGATATTGCCAAAAGTCCCCTTGGGCACAAAATCCCTCTAGTTGAGAACTACCACACTGGTTTGTTTTCTGTTTTTTTTTTTTTTTTTTCTTTTTTTAGGATCATATCTCTAACAGTCATAGACCTTTTAAACTAGTCTGAACATGATTTATTTCCTATTCCTAATATGAAGGGGTATGAGATCAAGAGATCTCTTAAATCATGTCTACCCCATCCCCTTCTCTACAAAAGAAATGTTACCAAATTATAATACATACACTTGCTCTCCTCAAGAGGATAAAGCATTGCTATGATTTTTGGAAGGCTACTTTTCTTAGTAACGTTAACTCATTTTCAAGTAAATATTGAACAAATTAAAGCTTGTAAATGTACATGTTGGTGTCTCTTGCTCCTTGCTATTAAATCTTTTGTGATTTTCCAGTCCTTCCTTCAATTTGTCTTCTCTTTATTTTCCTGATCACTTTCTCCTCATTTTTCCTGTTTTAGAAAAAAAATCTTAATTTCAGGATTTTTTTTTTTTTTTTGAGATGGAGTTTCACTCTTGTTGCCCAGGCTGGAGTTGCAATGGCGCAATCTCGGTTTACCACAACCTCTGCCTCTCAGGTTCAAGCGATTCTCCTGCCTCAGCTTCCTAAATAGCTGGGATACAGGAGCCTGCAAGAACACCAGGCTAATTTTGTACTTTTAGTAGAGACAGGGTTTCTTCCATGTTGGTCAGAATGGTCTCAAACTCCCGACCTCAGGTGATCCACCCACCTTGGCCTCCCAAAGTACTTGGATTACAGGCGTGAGCCACTGCACCTGGCCTAATTCCAGGATTTTTATTTTAGTTTTGTTCTTCACTAAGTGATTTGGTCACTCCTATCTACTATAAGTCCCATCTCCCCAACCTAACAGCCAAACAAGTTTTACAGGAAAATTTCATGCTGCTATTAATTTTCTGTACTATTTTCAGTTTACGGGTTAAAGTACATTTTATACAAAGAAGAGTTTGTTTCTATGTTCTTTTTAGAAGGTGGCCCTGCATACTAGATTGCATCCTCATTATCAAGAGAGTGCTGCTCTGTAACTAGATAGTATTATCAAAATACACCATTAAACATTAGCCAAACTTTGAACCCTTTCCAGCTGAAACTAACACTAGGTGTCATATTCATTTCTCTTTTCTGAAGGATAATATTCTTTAAAGTATTAGGAATTAGAGCAGAGGATATTTCAAGACCAAAAAAGGAGAGTATCACCCAAAAGCCACCTAACCCTCTAAAGAAAATAAATGATCTATTTTGTTATCAGAAAATGTACTTTTTTAAGGGACCTATTTCAAGATAAAAGGAGGAAAGGAAGTCGTTTGAAATATATGTATCAATTTTACTTCTTCATGCCTCTATGTTTCTGAATTACAACTTTAAGGAGAAAACAATTCTAATCAATAGAAAGGATACCATTTAGCCCTTTCTGAATTTAACTGTTTTTCGGAAAAATATGGCAGTAAAGTATCAGGGCTAGGGTAATGAATTTTAGATATATTTTAGCTAGATATTTTTTCTTATTTTAGTATTCCTTCTTTAATCAGATTCCCAAAGCTGAGGCATGGCACAGTCTAAGATATCGAGACTCATTTAAAACTTGCCATAAGCATTGGCTTACAGCCAATAAAATATTCTCAGGATGGTCATTTCCCTAAAGATAAAAGGGAAATGAGTTGTGTCAAGAACATTTTCTATCTTAATTGGTGGGTGGGTCTCTGTAAAGAGGGTGGCCTTCTACTTGTACCAGATCACACCTGGTACAAGGATGTGGCAAAGAAAAATTACAAAGCTCAAACTGCTATATTGTACATCACTGAATTCCAGGAGAGACATTTTGCTTTTGAATGCTTCCCATAATGCAGATAATTACCTTCTTGAACTCCTAATATCATCTTCCATTTGTCACAACTAAACTTTCTAAGTTTTAAATTGTCTTTTTGGGTACATATGGAGATGTGAAGCTTTATAATTCCATGTTCAAGCTGGATAGATGAATTTAAATAAAAGTATGACCAGATATTTCAGTTGTAAAGTCTAACATGAAATATATAAAAAATATGTTATTTACAGTTATATGTGCCTATGGGTCTTAAGTGTACACTGTGAGTTTTAAGAATACACTATTTGGTCAATGAAATAAAAAATAATTGCCCATAACTTTTTCAGGCATATGGTTTTAAAAGTGCTTTCACATATAATTTATTTCTTTAATTTTTAGAAGGCCTTGGATTCCTACGGTTCTTGAATTGCCTGAGGAAATTTGCATCACCAAGGCAGAAAAAGAGTGACTACTTTCTTTATAAAGTAATAGAGGGAATCAACACCCAAAAAAGTCAAAGCTACAGAAAGTGGTAAGTGTAAATTACAAATTGAATGAGTCTGAAATGGAAGAAAGTTAGAAAGATGTAGTGACTGCAGTTTTTACAATGGCAGTCTCAAAAACTGTGATTAACTAAAAGTGGGCAGTACCCGCCCTGCTGCACCCAGTAGGTTGCATAAAGAAAAATCTCATCTATCTCTTACTATATAACTGACCTTGAGCAAATTACTGAACCTCTCGAAGTCTCTCAGTTTCTTAATGTGTAAAGAGAGAGGAACTACTACTGTCTTCCTCAGGGTCAGAGGACTTTCACATGTGAAAGTGCCTAGCAGGGTGCCTGAGTCCCAGGAAATGTTCAGTGTATGCTGGATTCCTTCCTTCTAATGCCAGGCTCTGCGAAGCACGTCCCTTTGCCCTCCACTTAGTATTTCTGGTGATGGAGACACAGATCAGAATAAGTGGATCCAGGAGAAAGGGCACATTTAAGGAACAAAAAACTATCTGTATCTAGATTGTGGATTACAAGATTATATGTAATTTCTGAATCTGAATTATTACTCATTTCATGTATCTAGAATATGTAAAATATAATAAACAAATAAATAATAAATAATGAGTCATAGAAAGGAAGACCAGAACTTTTTTCTAAAGGTTCCTACAGCCGTTCAATGTTACTTGATTTAATTGCAGCAAAATTCAGCCCCAAAACAAACCACTTCATCCGAAGTGCAGCATGTCCCTACCGTGTATAAAACACTGCACTAGAAGGCTAATAAGCAACTTCCTGAACATAAAACAAGAGCATGATGGCTGGTAATGTTACCCTCTTAAGAGATCAAAGCCAACTTACAAGATTAATAATATGTAAGAATCAAAATGATGCATATGATAAAAGTGGCCACCTCAGCACTTAGAACAAATGAAATTTATAGCAAGTTCTTAAAAAGAATACAGTGAGTCACATTCTGGCATTAGAAATTTAACATTCTATTCTTTAGAAAACCTAAGGAAAAACTGTTTTTAAGTTTTTGCTAAAAGTGATGACTGATAACAGACAATTCTGCCTTTATAAAAGAATATGCTACATGAAGAATTCTCAAATGCAAACTTATATATCCAAATTCTTATGTGATAGCAGGGCTGGAGGTGACCTCATTCATTTGTTCATTCATTTATTCAACACGCATTTATTGAGAGACTTTGATCATATGGGTTGGACAGGTAGACTGGACAATACAAGTGAGAAATGGTGTCAGCAATGACTGTAGTGAGTTAAGAAGGCAAGAATGAGGAAAGAGACGTGTAATATTTTGATAAGCATCCTATGGTACACTGTCCAGGAAGAGAACACATTTTCAAGCATTTAGAAACAGAACTGGGCTCATGAGAGCTAAAACAGTAGCATTTACTGCTGAAGCTCTCAAAGTTTTATTCTTATGTATCAAGTTCATTCAGGTACCCAATTTCACCATGAGCTGAATTATTAGGGTGCATTTTAAAAACGTCAAATGAAGACTCTCTTTTAATGAGTTTTTCTATCAAATCTGGCAAAGCCAAGTAGAAGAATCTATATTTTCATGTAGAGAACAATAATACTTTTCTCCTACATGGCTTCTTGGGGATTCCCCTCTTGTGCCCTTCTCCCTGACATGTGTTCTAACATAAATTTGCCTGTGTAATGCAGTCACAGGTAAATTGTGTTAGAACATGCATTAGGAAGAGGGGCAGTGAGAATTTCTTCACAAAGTCAAAAGCTGAACTCTGATAGATACGGTGCTCTTGATATTAATATCTCTACCATGGAAACAGCCAAGAACCCGGGACATTATAAAGTTTTCAGAAGAAATGACATCAGATATAGCAACAGCTGAAAACACCCTCATGAGTCACTAATTTTATTAAAATATTAGGCTTTCCATAAAAAATAAAGGAAGGCACATCTCAAAGGCCCAAGAAGTCAGATTAGTAATTCTGCAGAACTATACAAACAACTCCTTTTTCCAGATAACACATCAGCCCAGAATGAACTTTCCTACTGAAGAGGAAAAAGAAAGGTTAAAATAAAGATGCCATGAAATGCCCTTCCTTTTCCTAATTCTTCAAAATAAAGGCAATAATCTCTGCCCTTAGAAAATATAATAAAAATTATACAATTGTAAAAAAAAATTACAATCTAAAGTTTACTTAGGGTTTCCTCTGGTATCAAGGTTTATAGTCCTTCCTTATCCTTTGTTACAAATGCAACTGTGCAGCAGTACATAATACAAAAATCTCAGTTTTAAGGTGCTAACATAATAAAGACATGTAGCAGTACAGGCCCATAGCCCATGGGCTTCTTCATATACTCGTCAATAACTTCATTCAAAAGCACAATGTTGAAAGTAATACTAAGGGGGAAAAGCACAAAGCCAGGACTCTTTTAGGCTCATGTTGAAGAGGTAGGCTCATAAACAAATTTTAGGAAGAGTAATATTTTTGTCAGTTTGCAAGCCAACTGAAAATATGCATTTCATCATTTATTTATCGAGTAATTGAAAAACTAATTTCTAAATTCCTTCTTTTTCCTGTTCACCTTTGGACCTCTTTGTGACTTGTTAGCGCCTCTACTAAAAGATGTTAAAGAAAGAATAAAACCAAAATAAACGAATAAATAGAGTATTGCCACCAACCATTAGAAGTAAGGCAAGGTTTCAACAATGATTTGATTTTTTTTATTATACTGGACTTCCACTTTCCCATGATCTTGCTCTTACTTTTATGTCATTTATGTCATTTTAGTCTTTTTCATTTGAGCTGGGATCCATAAAACAATAGGATTTATAATATATCTTTAAAAATTAAATATTCTATGCTATTCCAGTATCCTGAGTTATATACTCCCATTGGCATTAGGCTTTAAAATAATACAATGGGTAGTAGAATTGTAGTACTTGGCAATATACATTAAAAAATCCATACCAATAGTTAGATTGTTCAAAATGGGACACGGAATCATACAACACCATACCTTTCCCTTCTATTTTTTTTCCTCTCTAAAAACCACCAGATACAAATACCACTGAACTCTGATAAACTACCACCAATCCCAACCATGACTCCAAAGCACTACGTTTAGAGAGGGTGCCCCACAAAAAACAACTTATTTTGTGGCTAAAGCAACAGCATATCAACTACTCCGTTTTTAATTTAATATAGGGGCAGGAGCCTTTTAGCAAATCAAAACTTCATTACAGAAACTGGTTGCAGCTGTTCTCTGGATGGGCACTAGGAAGACTGCAGGATTCAGAGGGTTCCTGAGGACACTGTCCATAGCCCTGAGGTGGCCTAGTAGGGAATTATCATCCACAGACAGGAAGACTGTGATGGCTGATACACACACAGTAGTCCTGGGTGAGTTCATAGATGCCAGTGTGAGATTATTCTGGCATGGCTGTAGTAATCTCTTGCTGGGAGGTAGGAGAGGTTATGAATATATGATGTGGGAATGAGGGTGTGGCAAGAGAGAAAAGAGAACCTGTCCCAGAGGGGGAAAGCCACTTGGTATAATGTCTGCTTCACATGTAAAACCGCTGATGGTGTTCGGATGCTCAGAGCTTGTTATCATTTCTCCTCTCATTTCAACATGAACAGGTATGGATAAAGGTACAAGTCTCATACGAGTCGGTGGTAAGTAGTCATAGTTCTCTAAAGCACCATATCTCTTCTTTTGACAGATATCATGGCATGAAGATAATGATTATTTGATAATCTCATGATGCTTTACCTAGACTCAAAAGCATATTTTAAGGTGCTCAACAATCATTAGCAAATACATACTGGACATTTTAAGATCTCTATTACACAGTGTAGCATTCCTTTCAAATGAAAAATTGCTCATCAAAGGGATTATAAGAAACCTCTACATAAAGGAACTTAAAAGTGGGCTTATTTATAAGCAGTCTAAATTAAATTGCTTGCTTTTAGACAGCAGCAGGCATAGCAATATGTAGGTGCTTTAACTTCCATTTTTCCTTGTATCTGGGTTTTTAAAGATTGTAATCCATTATAAATCCCAAAGATAATCGAAGCCTTTAAAAGACTTGAGAAATAAAGTAGAAATCAGGTTTAAAAAATAGGACAAGAAAAATGATCATTTCTGGGTCGGCCTCGGATGATGTCATCATAGGTTCTAAATGTAATAGCCAAGCAGTGTACACTAACTCTTCCTGCCCATGTGACCTCTAACATCAATTTGGGCAAAACAACTAATATTTCAATAATTTTTTGGCTGAGAAGTGAGATTCAGAAGGAAAAGATTAAAGAGAGTTTAGAGTGGCAAGGATGAAACGGTGTCAGTGTGTGTGTGTGTGTGTGTGAGTGTGAGCGCGCACGCGCACGCGTAGGGGGCCGAGGGGAGGAGGCATGAAAACTAACTCTTCCAGCACACACCCCTTTTGCTACTACAAGGGCATCCAGCAATCACATTTGCAATAGTAAAAATGCTGAAGAATCCTACAGTCTCTATTCTTTCACAATCAGCCCTATCCTCTCCTACAGAGCCCTTCTTGCTTTATTGGTGCCAGGAAATTCTTCAGGGGTTAAATGGGGAAGTGCAGCCACTACCATTGTTGCAATAAATAAATGAATGAACCAGAACGAACCAGCAATCCATCCCTGGGAAGCAAGTATCTTATTTTCTACAATTAGATACATTAGCCAGCAACCATATATTTTTAAAAATTATATTTTATCTTTTGATGTGTGTGTATACATTATAGACACATATGCATCTATATAAAAAGAAGCACAGTGCCCTGAACACATATACATCAATACCTTAAAAAAATTTAGCATTATTTATTTCAATGAAAAGACAAGCAGCTTTTAAAAAATTGGACAGGCTAGCAACTTCATCTCAAAGGCCCTATATTTTGCACATACAGCATATAAACACACACACACACACACACACACACACACACACACACACACAAAGGTTTTTTTTTTTTCCATGCCATAGACAATGCTAAAATATCTGAAATCAGGTTGCTATGCCAACAGATTTTTTTCCTAAAATGAATAAAATTATTAGGAGAGAGAAAACATTCTTGACTCTTTTCCTCCCATCCATGAAGCCGAGAAAGGCTCAGGGAGGGCGAGAGGCTGCCAGATGGGGAGGAGGGGAAGGAAGGGAAGGTGGGTAGAGGGGTGTTTGCTTACCAAAGATGCTGATTTGATCGTGGCAAAGCGCTCTCTGTTCCGGTAGTGGAGGGCCTGGCTCTGAACTGACTGGGTAGGCCGCGGCTCAGGCCTGGGATCGCCGTGGCCCGCCTCATCCCTTATGAATACATGATCCTGCAGAAATGGATAAAAACAAGGAGAAAGTCCAGCTGTGCTCTTTCCTCGCCGGCTGCCTCTCTCTCACCCCTCTTTCTGCACAAGCACTGCTGTTTGAAATGCATAGTTTAGCTCTCTGCTAGTCCCCGCAGCTCCCACGGTACAAAATGAATAAGCAACACATTGCAGCCTTCAGTTAGGAATGTCAGCTGATCGCTAGTGGGATGCCTTCTGAATCCCTGGCAGGCTTTTTCTTTACCTCCAGAATTACATATATGCAAAAGAAAAAAAGAATAGAAAAAACAATGCAATGTAAAGACTCCTTAGAACAGTTTGCTTAAAACGCTGTAACCAGATAATTCCTTTAAAAATGTCATGTCCATGTCTAGCAAGGAGGATGCTGGTGGCTTTTAACATAAAAGCGAGCCTCCGCCTCATTCCCTTGAAAGATCTGCTTTCTCAATTTAATTTTATTTGAGATCTGTTCGGTAGGATCATCGTTCTGCCTAGAACCAATGTAGGCTTGTGCTGAACAGCCTCTCTATCTTGTGCTGGGAAGATTCGGCAGTCACTGAGGGATCCTGCTTTCCAGTCATGATCGTACACAGTTCTAGCACCTTCTCTCTACAGCTTCTGAAAGGATTTTTTTTTAGATTTAAAGAGACAGGCGTACAATTTTAACCAAATGATACTTTCACAAATTCTTCTTCAACTCAGCATCGGTATGGTCACCAGAGTGAGTAAAGCTGGAATTTAATGTCCTTGACTGATTTAATCAAGCCCACGTTTTCTGATAGGCAAAGATAATTAATCTTGTTCTAATGCCCAGTGAAAAAATAGCATTCCCTGGAAGGATAATAATGGATGTTTCTTAAATGCAACTGAAATGACTTTTAAAGGGGAAAATGCTTTCAAAGGACGATGTTCCTCTCTATAAAAGATAAAGTGGTCAATCATTAAGTGGCTATATAACCCTTCAAAAAAAAGGACACTATAGTAATTTGTACCACAAAAACATGTACAACCATGGGGGCTCTTAAAATAGTACATGTTCAGGATGGGAAAGGAAAAATTAATTCCTTATTTCCTTAGGGTTTTAGAAGAAACCATTTGTGAGAAGTCAATATTGCATTTTATCTATGACCACTTGAAATTTTTTTATCATGGCTCTTTTCTTCATCACAAAACAAAAAGAAGTTTAGAAAATACAAAATTTTATTATAGTCTAAAATTTTGAGGGAAATTAAATTTTACATCCGGATTTTTAAATAAAAGCCAAGACCCAAGATTAAATTGGACTGATTTTCTTTTTCCTTTTATAAATTTAAAATGCTTTGACGTATTTGGAAGGTATCTATCATTACAATTACCTATATTGAGAATGTTTTAAAATTTTTGTATTATAGCTCAAATAATGAAGGGATCTTTGATAAACTTGCCATTGAGGGCGTATATATCAAATTCAAGTATATGCTATGGCCACGCTGTCCAATAAGATAGTGACTAGCCACATATGACTATTTTAATTAAAAATTAAAATTAATTCAATCAAAATTAGATCCAAAATTCAGTTCCTAAGTCATACTAGCTATGTTTCAAGCATTCAGTAGCCATAGTTAGTGGGTATTATATTGGATGGTGCAGATATAAAATAGTTCCATTATTGCAGAAAGTTCTTTTAGACCTTGCTGTGGGTTAAAAATGAATCTCTTAACCCATGTTTTTAAAACTTATAAGAAAATGTTTGAAGGGTCAGTTAAAATTATTCTATATAATTTCTTGTGAATTTGAACTCTTATTTCACAAGGAAGAGAGAGAACATGTGTAATTGAGATTCATGCACTAGGTTTAAGGTTCTAAAGAAGGCAGCACTGAGACCTGATATCATGTATATTACTGCATATTTGCTATTATGTTTATGTCCAAAATTCAACTTAATATTACAGTCTCAGAAAAGAAAGCAGCTCTTAAATGCCAGCAATCAGAAGAGATATGCTAGGTAGAGGCCTGTGATATTATAGGAGGCCTTAACAAGTTGCTAACTTACCAAGTACAGTGATTGAGAAGGAGACTTCAAATATGTGGGCAACGGCTCAGTTTCACATTGTAATAACGTGATTTGTAAGGATAACCAATGACACCAGAATCCACATTGTCCACATAACAGACCAAAACAAAATTTATTCATGTACCCAAATATGTGTAATTTTATTCCTTTGTTTTATCTCTGATAAATATTAACACCTCAGAAACATGGTTTAGGGCTCTGCTTCTCCAATTAAAAGCCGTAATGTATTTTCTAAGTTTACTAAACTTGAGGAAGTTGAAGTACACCAGAAAAGTTAAAAGTTGAAATGACATTTATTTTAGTTGATACGTGTGTAATTAAATAACTCAAGTATATTATAAAATAGTGCTATTTTGTAGTCCAAAGAATAGGTTCAAAATTTTAATCCACTTTAAATATAATAATGCTAACAATATAATTCTTTGCTTCCCCTTAAATTTTTTTACTTTTATAAAATAATTCTTAGTTTTCCAGATCAATTTCATAACAGAGATCACCATCACTAAAAGTCTTCAAATACTATATAAGAAACTAAAAAATTGGACAAAATTTTAGTCTAACAGTGGATATTCATTTCAAGTGCATTGGAAATGAATTTTAAAATATCCAATTCTACTGCATAAAACAGGTTCAAAACTCCAAAGACAGCTTATGAAGCTATTTAAAAATGGGAGAATGTAACTTGAGAAGTAAGCCCAAAGAAATTAAAGTATCAACGTTTTACTGGAGATATTTTCTGTTGGTTATACTGTGCCTTTAAGAGTCTCTTTGTAAAAGAACACTATATCTGGCTCCCAGTGTTTCTGAACTGCACATATCTTAAGATTAACAATGGAAAGGGTTAATTTATATTTTTATGCAGTTATGCACTAGATGCAGATTATTTACAAATGATAAGACTGAAATCTTCAAAGAAAGATTTTAGAAGATTAAGAAGAATAAATCTATTCCATTTTGCCAAGGCAAAATACATGGCATAGTTATAATTTATCTTTAAAACATTATCATCCAGAAACAAACAAAAATCACTCCTTGAAATATCAGTTTTTTTTTTTTTTTTTTTTTTTTTGAGACGAGTTTTGCTCTTGTTGCCCAGGCTGGAGTACAATGGCGCGATCTTGGCTCACCGCAACCTTCGCCTCCCGGGTTCAAGTGATTCTCCTGCCTCAGCCTCCCAAGTAAATGAAATCACAGGCATGCACTACCATGCCCAGCTAATTTTGTATTTTTAATAGAGACGGGGTTTCTCCATATTTGTCCGGCTGGTCTCGAACTCCTGACCTCAGATGATCTGCCTACCTTGGCCTCCCAAAGTGCTGGGATTAAAGGTATGAGCCTTTGTTGTCAATGCTTTTGGTGTTTTGATCATGAAGTCCTTGCCTACACCTATGTCCTGAATGGTTTTGCCTAGATTTTCTTCTAGGGTTTTTATGGTGTTAGGTCTTATGTTTAAGTCTTTAATCCATCTGGAGTTATTTTAGTGTAAGGTGTCAGGAAGGGGTCCAGTTTCTGCTTTCTGCACATGGCTAGCCAGCTTTCCCAACACCATTTATTGAACAGGGAATCCTTTCCCCATTGCTTGTTTTTGTCTGGTTCTTCACATGTACCCCAAAACTTAAAATGCAATAAAATAAATAAATGGGGGAAAAAAATAAATGTCTTTATAATATTATTATATTTCAAAAAAAAAAAAAAAAAAAAAAGGTATGAGCCACCGTGCCTGGCCTGAAATAGCAGTTTTGTTTTGTTTTGTTTTGAGATGGAGTCTTACTGTGTCACCCAGGCTGGAGTGCAGGGGCTCGATCTCCACTCACTATAACCTCTGCCTCCTGGGTTCAAGCAATTTTCCTGTCTCAGCTTCCGGAGTAGTAGGGATTACAAGTGCCCACCACCATGCCTGGCTAATTTTTGTATTTTTAGTACAGATGGGGTTTCACCATGTTGGGCAGGCTGGTCTTGAACTCCTGACCTCAAGTGATCTGTCCACCTCATCCTCCCAAAGTGCTGGGATTATAGGCGTGAGCCACTGGGCCCAGCCTGAAATACCAGTTTTAAGTAAACCTATGTTAACCTGATAAACTTATCACATTAATTTTTTTGTTTGTTTGTTTTTTTGAGACAAAGTCTCACTCTGTCACCCAGGCTGGAGTGCAGAGGCACTATCTTGGCTCACTGCAGCGTCTCTACCTCCTGGGTTCAAGTAATTCTCATGCCTTAGCCTCCTGAGTAGCTGGGTCTACAGGCACGCACCACCATGCCCGGCTAATTTTTTTGTATTTTAATAGGGACAGGGTTTCACCATGTTGCCCAGCCTGATCTCAAACTCCTGAGCTCAGGCAATCTGCCTGCCTTGGCCTCTCAAAGTGCTGGGATTACAGGCACAAGCCACCGTGCCCAGCCTACAACATTGGTCCATCATAAAAAATAAACTTCTTTGGATTAAAAAGGAAGCTGTCAGGCCGGGTGCAGTGGTTCACGCCTGTAATCCCAGCATTTTGGGAGGCCGAGGTGGGCGGATCACCTAAGGTCAGAAGTTCGAGACCAGCCTGGCCAACATGGAGAAACCCCATCTCAAAAAAAAAAAAAAAAAAAAAAATTAAAAAAAAAAAGAAAAAAGGAAGCTGTCATAATGTTTGTTCAAAATCTTTAGTAAAATGAATTTCTACACAAGAACGAAATATGTGAAGCATGAAGCACAAACTTTACTATTATACCCTAGACAAGGGGCGTTCCTTTTATTTGAAAGTTTTTCCTTTAAGTGTCTGACCATTACACTTCTGAAACAAAGATTTGTGGTGTACGTACTTGCCTAGAGTTTCTTTTTTTTTTTTTTTTTAATATGTGTTTTTTCCTAATAGAGCAGGGGTCTCACTATGTTGCCCAGGCTGGTCTCGAGCTCCTAGGCTCAAGTGATCCACTCACCCCAGCCTCCCAGAGTGCTGGGATTACA